TAAGTAGGGACGTTCATAAGTCGAGGCACCGCTGTGTAGAAATTGGAAGCAGGAGGCAGAGAAGCTATATCCTTTCTGCCAAAACAAGACCAGGAGCAGAATGTGGTACTCATCAAGATCTGTTAAAAGCAAACATTAGGATAAAACTGGGGTGGGGGGGAGTCTAAAAGAATCATAGTGGTGTCGCTGATTTTAGATGGTGTCGCTGATTAATTTAGATGGTGTCGCTGATTAATTTAAAGACCACATAAGGAACAGATTTGTATTATTAAATTCAATTGACCATGAATCAGAAGAACTTTGAATTGAAATGAGTGATATTATTAGAGAAGAATGCAAAGAGAAAATTAATGTAGCTAAAAGAAATTAAAAGTCTAGATGGATGATGGAAGAAACTTAAAATTGTTATGAACAGGCAAGAAGCAAAAGTGGCTGAAGTAGGATCATAATCCTGAACGAAGCTTTTTAGTGACTGTCACAAAGAGGCAAAGAGAACTATTATAATGACCGGTGGAAAGAAACAGAGGAGAATAACAAAAGAGAGAATCAAGAGATCTCTTCCAAAAGATCTAGGAAATCAAAGAGAAATGTATGTCCAGATTAGGAATGTTGAAAGACTATCAAGGAAGCACACCATCAGACCGGCATTAAAAAAAAAAGATAGAAGAAGTATATCAAAGACCTGTACAGAAGAGATAAAAGAATGACAGATTTCTTTGAAGAGGAATCCTCTGATAAAGAACCAGCAATTTTTGAAAGTGAAGTGAAAGCTGCTCTGAAAGCACAGGAAGAAATAAATTACAAGGGATAGATGAGATACCAATATTTCAAGCCACAAAGACTGTCAAAATCTTAAAAAGAATGTGCCAACAATTAAGAAAAACAAAACAATGGCCCCAAACTAGAAATGTTCAATATGCATTTTAGTCCTCAACAAACGAGATGCCAAGGAGTGCAGTAAATATAGGGACTACAGCAAAGCCTTTGACTGTGTGGATCATGAGAAACTATGTGTTGATCTGAAAGAAATGGGTATGTCTCAGCACTTGATTGTTTTGATGCATAACCTATTGTGGACAAGAAGATACTATTGGGACAGAATATGAAGATGCATTGATTTTCTATAGGCAAAGGAGTCAGACAAGGGTGCATTTTATCCCCTTATTTGTTCAATCTGTATGCAGAACATATCATATGAAAAGCTGGACTAGATTCAGATGAAAAGATAATTCTGAGAAAGGTTGAAGGCAACAGGAAAAGACCAAATATGAGATGGATTGCTCCACCAAAGAAGCCATAGTCTTGAGTTTAGCAGAGCTGAGCAGGGCTGTTTTGAACAGGACATTTTGGAGATCTCTCATTCATGGGGTCACCATAAGTTGAAGGCAAATTGATGGCACATGAAAACAACATGAAGAAGTGCAAATGCTATGCAGGACCAACTCAAGCAAAAACTAGTTTGGGAAGGGAAGATGGGCAAAGATTATTAAGAGAATAACTTTTTAAAATCTAAACCATGCTGTGAGGACCTTGATAAATAATGACTGAAAGCGGAGGAAGTGAATGGGGTAGTTGGAATTATTTTAGGGAATACCTATTACCCCTTGAGTAATGAAGCTGACAAATGCAACTTTTTTTGCTTCCCATCAGTGCTGTAGTACCAAGACATTCTCAGAAAACAATGAAAAGCTGCCATAGATCAAGAGCGCATGGTTCATTGTTGTGATATATTCATCAAGACATGTTAGTATCAATGCAAGTCTGTCCCACCCTCTGTACCAGTGTTTGGAAGGGGTACTTCTTTTGGACTGTAATTCTCAGGATCCATGCCGACGGGGATCCTTCATTATACTGTAGTCTAGAA